TGCAAACGTAAAGGCTGCCTGTGGAAACTCGTCTCAGGAAGTGCGTTCTCTGCTTCTTTCCAATGTACTCCACCTTCCTTCTGCTCTGCACCAGGCACACGTGTCCTGGAAAGTGACTACAACTGTTCTGGAGGTGGGTGAGTCTCCAAAAACCGAAGGAGACATTGAGAATTGCCATGAAGTTGACCGAAGCCCACATGGGTGGCCTGAAGTTTGGGGGTGGAGGCAGCAGAAACTTGGGAAACACAAAGAAGACCTGATGCAGGAAGAAAGGCAGGAAGCAGGGGGCCAGAAGACAAGTGGCAGCCCGAGGGGACAGATGGCCAACCCATTCTGGTCCCGTGGGGCCAGGCACACCTACCTCGGACCAGGCAGACACGAGCCACTGCAGCTTCCTGGGCTTGTGGCAGCGCTGAAGCAGGCAGGCTTCCTGCATCCTGGGCTTGGGCTCCGAGGTGCAGACTGTGTCGGGCAGCAGCTGCGCCCTGGCTGAGGGGTTGGTGCTCTTGCAGGCCACGGACCTCTTCCTCCACCCCTTCCCACAGGTTCGTGAGCACTGTGCAGGAGAGCAAATGTCAGTGCCCAGCAAGGACCACGGGAATGAATTGGACTACACTGAAGGGGAGTCCCAGGCTCCAAGCCCTGCCTTCCACCGGAGAGGGCCGGCCACCACCCATGTCAACCCCGCCTGCCCAGTTACCTCTGCCCAGGGCCCAGTGCTCCATGCAGGTGGACAGCTCTGGGGGTTGCAGGCCTGCCTGCTGGGGGGCGCAGGCTGCAAACACAGGCTGGATGGGACTGGGTGGGAACTGTAGCGTGCACGCTGCATGCACTGCACCGGCCGGCTCTGGGTGCCCCCACCACAAGTCCGGGTGCAGGCACTCCAGTTCCCCACAGACCAGCTGCAGGGGACAAAGAGACAGTGGTGGGAGGTGTGCCGTCACTCCACGGGAAGAGGCCAGTGTGATCCCCCAGCAACAGCCCACCTGGGTGCAGGTATCTTCGGTGTCAGCTCTCACAGACAGGCATCTCTGACCTACAAGTCCCTCTCCTGCCCCTGTTGCCCCTCCCCTCTCTACTTAGGGGCCCGCCATCCCTTCCCCTCCCCTGGCTTTTGGGTTCCCCTGCACCTGTAAGTAACCCATCTCGGCAAAGGTGTCTGCTCTTTCTCTCCTTTTTTAAAGGAAAAGTCCAAATATAAAAAAATCAAGGACCTCTGCGTTCTCATCCACCCAGCTTCAGCAATGATCAACTTGTGCCCTCAACCCCTATAGCATTTTGCAGCAAATTCCAGACATATAAATATTTCAATATGCATCTCTAAAAGATAAGGATTCTTGTTTTTTTCTTAAACATAACCATAATACCAGTATGACAACTAAAAATTTAATGATAATTGCTTCGCATTACTAAATAGTCAGTGTCCCAATTCCCAGTTGTGCCCCAAATGTTGTAACTTAAGGCCACCTGCCTGTTTGTGAATCCAGATAAAGTCCACACTTGGCAACTGTTCGATGTGTCTTTCTTCTCTTTCAGGCTACAGGTTCTTCCTTAATCTTGTTTATTTTCCTCTTCAACTTATTTGTTACAGAAATGGGATCTTTTGTCTTACTAAGTCTCCCGTAGCCTTTATTTTGCTGATTGCAGGATTTTGTGAATTACATCTCAGTGGTGTTTCTTCACATGCTCCTCTATCCTCTATCCTTCCTGTCATTTAGGGGCTTTATCAGATTCTGGGTCAATTTTGTTTATATGACTATTTCATACGTGATGATGCATTCTTCCAACAGGGGCACATCATGTCTGGTTGTCTTTCAATTTGTTAGCATCTCTTCATTCCAGGTAATGTTTTCTCTCAGTGCCACGTTTTCCCTTCCTGGTTATAAGCATGTTCCCTGTCACCATGTGTGATGGGGCATGGGGGGGCGGGTGTCAGGTCTAGGCTCAGCCATTCTTGCTCTTGGATAAGCCTGTGTGTGTCTACAAAGCCTTGGTGGGCTTTGCACACACCCATCTGCAGAAGGCTCAATGTGCATCCTGGGGAGGGGGCTCGTCTGGAGAGGAGAGGTCCAGGAGGTCCAACGTGGCCCAGTACTATGGACTCAGCTGGCTGGAGGGCCGTGGGTTCCCTGCAGGAAGCAGCCGTTTGGACTCTGAGAGGACTTGACTTTCCGTTGCATTTATCTTCCCGTTTAGCCACCGCGGGAGAAGGCGGAAAGGCACGGGGGTGTTTATGAAAAACTGAAAATTCTGTGGAAGACGTTGGCACTACCTTGGTAGTTATGGAAAAATGACACTGAGGAAAAAGGAGAAGCCTATACAAGGTGGAGCAATACCACCCCTCTACATTGTGAGGAGGGGCCCACCCAGCCCCCTGCTCTGCCTCCTGCTCTGCCTCCCGCTGTTCGTGGTGACGACCAGAGCAGGTGCGTTTTGTCCTCCACTCCACAGCATTTCTGAGTTAGGGTAACAGTGGCTTCTTCCTAAATCTTAAGGTAAAACAGAATTTCTGAAGATGCCCAGATTTACTCTTTGGCTTAGTGACTTTCCATCCTGTCCTCCCACACTGAACCCTGACAGTCACACTCAGGTTGAGGAGCCAAAGCAGCAGCTTAGAGAGCTCATGAGGTGGCTCTCAGGAGCATGTATAGCACCTGGGACAGGTGTTCTAGGGACTGAAGTCTGTGAACCCAAGTTATATAGAAATGTTTAGGAGAAGATAAAAATGTCCCGTACCTCTCCTACCAGAGATAAACATTGTCATTATATCTTCACATTGGCTTCTGGTGCTTTCTGTGTGTGTGTGTGTTTAAATACGTTTTTTAACACGGTTGAGGGCAGGCAGTATATGCGACATTTTATTCAGCATTTCTAAAATTCAATGTCTAAAACAAGTCTTCTATTTTCAGTGTCTCTAATTTCACAATATGGACCAAGGTATATAAATATCTAAGGAAGGAAATAAAGGCAGAAGGACTGGAATCCTAAGCTCCAGGAGGCCCGTGAGCCCCTGAAATTGCACCAGTTCCACATGTGCCGTGCCTGCCAAGACGACAGAGAAAAATGATCAGTACCTTTCCTAAAGTTTTCAGAGGGGTTTGTGACCCAAATAGTTTTAGAGCCAAACTTTGGACTCTTGGGAAAATCCTGAGGATAACAGGTGGTGGAACCTCGAAGGCAAGGAAGCAGTCCCACCCAGAAGGGCGGGCACCCTGGCCCAGTGCTCGGAGTCTAGGCTGACCTGTAGCACAACATTTTCCTATTTGGTTTGTAGAAACTTTGAACTATTTTATACCAAGTGTTTTTCCTGAAAAGATTCCATTATGTTTTTAAGAAAATTGTAAATAAGTATAATGCAAATTTTTATAAACATAAAAGAAAATGTGAGGGTTGTAGGAAATATTTCACATCCACTGTGGAAATGCTCACATTTTTCAGTGCCAACAAGATTGGTGTTTTCTATTACACATTCAACCATCTAAATTGCACATCGTCATCATGAAGATTGGTTTTCAGCCTTGGGGCTGTGATGATTTTGCATCTGGAGTTTCTCGGTGGCTCTTCTGCCACTTCCATGTGCTTTCATGTTGCTTTTATGTTTCCTTCCATTTCTTACATTTGCTCTCTCAATCCTGCAGCCTTATAAAATATAATTGGTGTGTCCACACCAGGGCTGCAAAAAATGCCTTGGCGGCTCTCAGGCTTTTCACGCCACCTTGTTAAGTCTTCTGTCTCCACCATCTTAAGACGTTCCAACTGGGTAGATCCATTCTCTGCTCTTCTCTCTTAACTGCACATCATTAAGAAATAGTCCTGAACAGAGATCATCTGGGAACTCCAAGTGTCTGTTTTATTTCACAAGCACAACTCTGGAGGACTGTCTCCATTTCAGCTCGTGAGAGAGTCAAATCCCCACAAGCTTCTGTGCTGATGTCAGAGGGTTCCATGAGCACAAATGAGCTGTGTTCAGTAGCTAACTAGTGGCCATAATGGTACCTGCTTTGTTCTGATTTTCCCAAGTCCACCAGTTAGAACAAAGCAAGTGGCTAGCATCACCCAAAACAGTGAGGCTTCCAAGGCAGGACTCCTGCCCACCACCAATGGTACTCTCCTCTGCCCAGGGCTCCCACTGTGCGGCTCTCCGCGCTGCCTGGACAAGCGCTAGGATTTACGGCTTTCTCTCAGCAGTTTAGGTAGGACTTTCTGGCATCAATTGTCCAACATTCAATAACCCTAATGATCAACAGACATTAGCTCTTCTCCAGAAAATGATTTTTTCCCCCATTTAAAAAAAATAACATTTTGGTTTTAGTTATGTAAGGTTACCTTTGACAATGAAAATTTCCAGCCAGTGTTTGGCAAAATACCTTGTCATGAAACACCACACAAGCAGTCCGGCCAGACTCAGAGGCCGGTCCTGCCCTGGACCCCCGCCCACCTGAGCCATCCAAGGTCTGCTTAGGATTTAACATCAGTTTCTCAGACAGCACATGACCTCTACCTTCTTTAAAAATTTTGTTTCAGTTTGTTTTGCCTATTAATTCTTTCTGAAGTTCGAGATCAAGCATTCTGTCATTCTATTTTCAGGAATAACTCTTGACCTTCTATGTAGTAGTCTTGCACAACTTAATAAACACATGGAAAAATGACAGGACAGAAACCTTGTTACATCACAAAGCTGTGAGAGACCATGATAGATATTAGATGCTCACAGCTGGGTTTCCTTACAGAGGGTGACCACTGGATGTAGTGGGAGACAACTTAAAATACAGGGTTAGTATTTAATACAAGGGGCTTCTTCACCATCAGAGTCAGACTTGGGTACACGTGACTTTCACGTGTCAGCATTATGTGTCACAACTTTCATGTAGGCTGTTCTTAATTAAGTCATTCAGTTTTACTTTCCTAAATGATCTTTAATCACCTCTGCGGCTCTACACATAGACGTGCACACACTGCTCAATGGCCCAGGGGTTAGGACAGCGGCTGAGGCGGTCTGGCGGAATGGGGATTAGCTGACCTTTGAAGACACAATGACCTTGTCTTCCTGTGAAACTATAGCATCGTTTTACTTTCCTAAATGATCTTTAATCACCTCTGCGGCTCTACACATAGACGTGCACACACTGCTCAATGGCTCAGGGGTTAGGACAGCGGCTGAGGCGGTCTGGCGAAATGGGGATTAGCTGACCTTTGAAGACACAATGACCTTGTCTTCCTGTGAAACTATAGCATCTTCCCATGTGTAAGTAATTTGAGATCTACCATACTTTTCCTTTAAATGAAATGTCTTAAGGATAACAATGCACATTCAACAATAAACAGATGCTCGTCTGAAAAATCTGGGGCTAATGCTGGGGTCTGGCCCTGCTTTCCACGGAAAGCAGACCGGAAAGCCCATTACTGAGAACTGCTTGGCAAGGAACAGGGGCCTGGAAGCCAGGCCCTGCCGGCAGCACTCGGAGCTTGCAACTTGACAGTTACTTCATTTTCCTCGGCCTCAAAAGTCAAACCACTTTGTTTGACTTGTGACAGGAGACTTGTGAAGGAGAGATTTATAATGAGCCAGACACAGACACTGAATTGTTTTCATCTCTAAGTGCAGGATTTCTTTGCAGAGGCACATAAAGCCAAACCAAAGGACATCAAAAGCACCCCCTGATGGAGGTGCCATGGGTGTTAACTTTATGGACTGTGAGAAGCCAAAGGTATGTGAAGTTTTACCATTCAGAAGCCAACATGCCATTTCTACCAGGTTTTCCTGTCTTGCTCTCCTGTCATCAGATATCACCTTAAAAAGAACCAGCAAGATCTACAGCGCTTTCATTTACATGGGGAAAGACAGAGCAAAAGGAATTATAAGAGACATAGACAAAATAAAAGACCTGACTTTGCTGTTCAA